TGTGCTACATGAGGAGATACAGCAGACGACTATTCTGTCACTGATACTTATCTAACAACTTGAAGGGGTTCATAATCAATAAGTATTTCTTCAATGATCAGGAATGCCTAATACTTACTCATGAGAAGCTGTTCCATCATCCTCCACTGGGACCACGTGTATAGGGTGTGGGTAGTTATGAAAACCACACCTGTCACTCCACATGTTTCATAAATTCATTCCTATTCTTCTAATAATCTTCAGCATCAGACATTGTGCCTCGGGACTCACGTGACTTAGTTCTACGCGGTGATGTTTCAGCTACTATAGGGCGGTTAGACACTCTCCCTAACTAATTATCTACTCTTGATGATAGTGATACTATAATTATGGTAGTACACATGTAGACCATAAAAAACAGGGAGTTATTTAGGTTCTCCACAAATTGAATGATAAATAATCTCAGTAATTTCAAAAGCATCATCATTCCATTAAAATTATCTTAAACACACACATCTCCCTCTATCAAATCAAAATTATCTTTATAAATATGGCCTTGGCAAATGTGTAATTATGTGAATAACATGTATTTTGTTTTACAAATAAATTCCCCCAAATAAAATAGGGGTAAAATAGTGCAGCTGTCACTAATTTTTACCTGTAATATTGTAGGGACAAAAAAGTGCAGCAAGCACTAATTCTTCCCTAAAGTACTATAAGGACAAATTAGTGCCTGCTGCACTATTTTGCCCCCGATATACTTTAATTGTGACAAAAAATTGCATAATGCACTAATTCTATATTTTAGGACAAAATAGTGCAGAAAGCACTGATTCTTCCCTATAGTATTGTAGGGACAAAATAGTGCGGCAGGCAGCCAGGCACTAATTCTTCCTTATAGTATTTTGGGGACAAAATAGTGCTTGGAACTAATTTCTGCCTATACTATGTCCCAACTGAGTTTGGACCAAGAAAAACTGGAATAACTTTTTATAGGAGTGTAGGATAAGAATAAGACTTTCACAGGTACTTATTCGCCCAATGCCGCTTCAGGATCTCAGGTCTCGGGTCTCTCAGCCCTTGGGAACCCTGAGAATCAGGTTCTCCCTATAAACTCAATGGCATACCAAAGCTAACCGCAATGACGTTCTATGATGTCATAGTTTACATAAGCACATGTGGTCGAGCGCCCAAACTGATAATTCTTCTTTTTAAAAGCTAATAGAGCGAGATCTTCTGATAATGATGGCCTTTATGAAGACTAGTTGACTCCAGCAGCTATTGTACTGCTTATCAGGAAGAACAAGACTATTTTAAGAGTGAAACAAGATAGCCAAAGTATCGGCTATGTCTCTATGAATATCATTATAAAATGTCATTAGTGACGTAGCTAAATTTTTCAAATTCCAATGCAGCTGCTTCCACTTCCGGTCCATTCTCAGTTGGGACATAGTATATACAAGTAAATAAAAAACATTAAAAATGGAAAAGTAGTAGGATT